ATTAATGCTTGTTTGTTTTTAACGCCATGCCAGCTTCTGTGGCTATTTTCATGCGTCGAATTAAGTTCAATCTTTCCAGGAACGACATGCATTACCTTACTTCTGCGAGGCATATTTGGAGTTTCAGCACAAGAGCGCCCTCTGGCCTTTGGATGGAGAAGAATTTACAACTGATATGACACAAGTTACTATAAACTATTATAAACTAAAAACTAAAACTAACAACAACAGTGCGATAGCTAACGCTAAATGAAACTGAAAGCACAAATTGAAAATACAATAAGAACTAAATAAATAATGCTACTTTTTACGTTTTTGTCCTTTTGGGTGGACTGTTCCTAACAAGAGTGCTTAACAAGAGGAGTAAGCAAACGGAGGCCTGTGTTCTTTGGTGTGGAGGAGGCACATTTAATGTGTATTAAACAAAGATGTGTTCCCACCAAATGCGAGCGGGAAACAAGAGAGAGGAAAAACTATGTTTATCCAGCGAATGCCAATTTTGTGCCTTCGGAAAAGGAATTAATCATCAGTGGCCCTCTCAGAGGTTATTTAGAATTGGGAAAACGCCTGTGAACTCTTTTTCTCTCACACTCAAAGTGTGTTCTTTTGATGTCAAGCATTGTGTAATTTAATAGGCCTGTGTTTTCACACAACATCTGCTTGTCAACCTGACGTTCAGCGCTCTGTGCTGTGGACAGAACTGGAATAAAAAGAGCGAGCGTTTGAGCTGGGACTAAGGTAATGCGAGGCAATTATGACAGGCCCACAACCTCAGACCAAACATCTACAGGAGTTCAGCTCTGTGCTAATCTTACACAGAGAAGAATGAAGGTTATTCTTCTGAACCTGAGCGAGTGTAATGGCGTTGAGTCTGAGCAGATTAAATTTAATGTTTAACACATGGCCTCAGTATGGGATATAGAGGAGAGATAAGAGCTCAGACACCCTCAGAACACCCACTAGTCCTGAGTGTGAAATCACGGCCGGGAACGGAGAGTGGGCAACAAGTGTCAAGTATGAGTATTAGCAGGGGCTACAAAACGAAATGCACATGTCTGGCTGCAACACCACAGAGGGCAAGTTGTGTTATTGAGGCAGAGGGGAAAAACGTGTTGAGGAAGCCTCTCTGACACTGTGGTTTGCCAAGCTGCCTAACAAGCCTCTCATGACTTAAAGTAGTTTACTACAGACAAGGCAAGCAGGCTTGATAAAGTAATTATCTGCAGTCCACCACAAGTTATCAAAAAAGTAGCTGGGTCATTCCTGTTATTTCAATTTTGTAACTAAAACTAAATAGAAAGAAAAAAGTTAACATATGGGTCGTTCCTGTTATGCAGCACACTGAATGTCCTCATTATATCTGGATCATTATTTCGACACATTATATTGAATTTGATAAAGCGGTGTCCAAGAGTGCTGATATACAGTCCAACAGCACTGGGACTTTTTACTGTGTGAATCCCTCCACTGGTAGGGGGAATTTTCCTCTTTCTGCAGGTTACACCGCTACACCAGCAGGTGGCAACAAGTTACTGTCTTTATAAATAAGTAATAGAATCTGTCACTTAGAGCTGCAATAAGTTAACTGAAATCGAATCAAAATCGCGATTAAATTGTTCGGTCTTGTGTGATTATGAAATCGCGAAAGCTGTTATGTGCGGTCAGTGAAGTACGGCTTTGTGATCAGTAGTAAATGCTTGAGTAGTAAATGATTGAGTCAGTTATAATGTGCATTTGAAAAAACAACATATTTTTGAACATGAGAAGCATTTATGAACCTTTTGTCCAAAGGACAACATTTAATAACGTTTTTACTCCAAACTCACTCCTTAACATCAGTTGAGTGTTTGAAATAAAATCCTTTTGCGAGATGATGTGGCTTCTAACACAGAATGAGGCACGTAACATATTATTTCATAGTATTCTAGGCAGTGATAAAGACTATGACGATTAGCATTGCATTATGCATATACTTTATTATAAAGAAAATACATGAGAAGGCTTGAAGAACTCAGATAAAATATTTATTGTTATAGTCGTATGTTAAGTAACGTTGAATTAATGCTTGTTTGTTTTTAACGCCATGCCAGCTTCTGTGGCTATTTTCATGCGTCGAATTAAGTTCAATCTTTCCAGGAACGACATGCATTACCTTACTTCTGCGAGGCATATTTGGAGTTTCAGCACAAGAGCGCCCTCTGGCCTTTGGATGGAGAAGAATTTACAACTGATCACAAAACAGTGCTTCACTGACAAGCTGCGCATGAAAAGAAAAAAAAAATCGCGATTCCAGGTTATTTCCGATTAATCATGCAGCTCTACTTTCACTCAATTCGCACATTTTAAATAGGAAAACAAAAGCATAAACAACTATTACCACCTGATCCGTGATGACCTGCTGATCTGAATTATGTGATTTGCATGGTGTCAGTTGATCTGTCTGTAAAATATCCTGTTCGATAAATGATGGAATAACATAACATGCGAAATGACGGTTAAAATATATAAGTTAATGAATGAATAGGTGTTTTATTATAGAAATTAGAGCAGTACCAGGGGACATACAAATGGCAACATCCTCTCAAATTAAAGTAAAATGAATGTGATAGAATACACCTCTTATTTTCACTCTATTTCACAAGTAATTAAAACATGATAGAACATGAAAATGTACTGCATGGTAGGAATGACAGTTAACTACATTGAAGCTATTTACAGTAAATTATGTAATGTTCTTGGAGGTCAAACAGTTGAGCATGGAACAAAACCAAGGTCATGGGTTTGATTCCTAGGGAGTGCATGAACTGGGGAAATGTATACACACACAATGTATACACAATGTATATAAGTCGCTTTGGATAAAAGTGCCTGCCAAATACATTTATGCAGTGGTTCCCAAACCTGGCCCTGAAGTACCCCCAACAGTACATATTTTGGATGTCTCTCCCAACTGGTCTTGAAGTCTCTTTGAATCAGGTGTGTTTTATTAGAGAGTTGGGGGTACAACAGGACCTGGATTGGGAAACATGTAAATTTTATGTATAATTCATTTAACAAATCAACATTATTTATCTGGAACAAAAAATGATCTGGTTTAAAATGACTTGCATCAGAGCTTTAACACGTCTCAAAACAAGAGTCATGGCATGCTTTGACCCTCACATGAAAATCATCGTTTAGAGAACGGGAACCTGATGTCAGCAACGCAATGCATTGTGGTATTTTAGGGTACAAGTGCTAGAGTAGAGACTGAGTAGTAGTTAATATAGACATTTTATATAATACTGTGTTTACATGATCTAACTTCAGAACACAGTGAAAAGGTGAACGCTTGCTGTATTATCAGCAGCCATAGCTGATTTTTCAGCTTTCTAGCATTGAAGCAACACAATAGTGATAGTGAGGTAAACAACTTAACCAAAACCGTTTCCTTGTTCAGCATCTCTTAGTAAGGAATCTTGCACTTGTATTATTTGTATAGCACTCTTTACAATACACATTGTTTCAAAGCAATTGTTTCAAGCTTTACAGAGTTACTGTTATGTCTATAATGGCTTAATGCTTTAACATTGATGATATATAACAATGATATAAATGATCCACCATTTGAGATTTAGCTATTTTCTATTTCTTATTTTAGCTGTTATATCAGCGCCACTTTAATAAACAAGACTCCTGACAAAGCCACTGGAAGGCAAGCCTGCAACCTTTAGCCAAAAATGCGTGACAGCTAATGCTAACATTGTGGCTTTGGCGGTACACAGGGAAGGGTTGGATCAGGCTTGGAGCTGAACTTTGCAGGAATTGAGCACCCCTGCCTTAAAGCAACAGCACCAAACACTTCACTACAAAACACTACACTACAAAATTAAACAAAAATACCACAATGAACATGTTAACTCTATAACTAATATAAGTGAATGAAATCAGTAATTAACAGCAGTATTTTACATAAATATATTTATCATATGTACACACCTATTCAAAATGTTGGGGTTGGTACAATAACAAAGAGTGAAAAATTTAAGGGGGTCTGAATACTTTCCGTACCCACTGTATATCTTACGCTCTTATGCGGTGTTTTGTAGTTAAAATACAGTAAAAATAGTAATATTGTGAAATATTATTAAAATTTAACAGTTTCTATTATTATATTGAAAGTTTAAAATAGCATTTTTTTAAAAGTTTTTTGTGTGTAACAATGTATTAATTTATTTTAGTATTAATATAATTAATATTAATAATAGTATTAATTTTCTTTAAAAAAAAACACTTACTGTACACACACACACATGATTTCTGGGAACACTGCTGCACTGAATGATGACTTAGGCTACGTTTACACGGCAATGATGTAGTCAAAAACAGAAAAAGTTTTCCCTTGCGTTTTTAAAAAGTTTCATGTAAACGCGACAACGTTTTCAAAACGATTCCCTTTACACATATCCGCGAAAATAGCCAAAAACGCTATAATACGTATGCCAGGCCAGTAGTTGGCGCTGTCACCTTGTTAGTAAACAGTACCTGTAGGGAAGTGAAGATTATATGATGTATATAATGCGTCTCCTCTGTTGGTTGTAATATTGGTGAAGTAAATCCACACTTTGCTGAAGAAGCATTAGCAAACTCTTGAGCAACAACAACAGTACCATGTACTCCGCCATTGTTGTGTATGTTTGTTCATGCTTGCCTTTAAAATCGACACGTACTGTGCATGTCTACATACCTAAAACATACTACGCACACGCATGACGTCACCGTTTTCAAAAATTCATGTATTGGGTGTTTACACGGAAACGATAACGGTGGCGTTTTCAAAAACTTGCACTTTGAAACCCGTCTTCAAAAATATGCGTTTTCAGTCCCCAAAATGCCGTTGTCGTGTAAACAATCAGGCAAAACGCATAAAAAGTTTCCCGTTTTATCTGGACTGAAAAGCAGGACATAGTGTTTTTCCTTCCTTTTAAGCTCCCTCAGAACATTCAAACAATCGTGTTTACCTGTGCAGACTTGGCCAGCTTCTGATTATATTCCTTCTCAAGATGCTTCAACCTGCTGTTGGTCTGTAATGAAAGAGAACACAGGAGAGGAGGGTGTTAGAAACAGAGAGTGCAGACACATGACACCGGATCGGCTGGCAGGAAGCGCGGGGAGTCGCTTTGCCGTGACCTCTGCGGCTGGCAGGCATGTTGGCATGCGTGTGGCTGGAGCTCTGGGCTCAGGGCCAGGCCTGACACCACAACAGCACACGGGCCTTTCATCAGAAGCCAACTTATCACCACTTAACAGGAAGAGAGAGAACAATATCACAACGTTATCTGCAAAACAAGAATATGACATGAAAAAACCCCCCCACCAAGCTTTTAAGGGCAAGAACATGAAAAGCAACAAAAAACAAAGAGATAAATGACTATACGAGGGTTATTTATTTTTTTTCATTGTGAAGAGTCAGATGCGCTTTTGTTGCTTGCTCACTAACAAACTTATATTAGTGGTAACAATTTAGTGTAGTGACCAATTCTCACTATTAACTAGTTACTTATTATCATGCCTTTTATTAACATATTGGCTGTTTATTAGTATTTATAAAGCACATATTCTGCATGACCATATTCTACATCCCTAATCCTATCCAATAGCTAAACTTAACAACTACCTTACTAACTATTAATAAGCAGCAAATTAGGAGTTTATTGAGGCAAAAGTTGCATTTAATTGTTTGTTAATAGTGACATTTGGACCTTAAAATAAAGTGCGACCATACTAGTAAGAGAGAGAAAAAAAAGCAGTTTACTGCTGGTTGTTTGTTGGCACTCAGAGTAGCAATTCACCACTGTAACGCTTCCTACCTATCATAAACTTGTAAAGATAGGACTCAAACAGTTTGTCTTGGCCAATGATGTCTAATATAGGGTAAGGTAGGGTCATGGATAACAAAAAATCTTCTCAACACATACCTAGATGGAGAGTTACCCATTAGCATTCTCATTCCTTTCAATGGCAGTTGCTTGGCTGGTGCACAAAGCCCCATAAAAGTGTGACCTACATTTCTTTTGAGCCAATCAGATGTGACTTGCAAAAATCCATTTTACCAGAATACATAAGTAGTTTTTTAAGATCTAATCTTGGGAAAGTCCACATAATGTTGACAACACGGCTTCCACCCTAACACAATGAACTCAAGTTTCTGATGTCAAATCTCTAGTGTGAAAAGCCCTCAGTAAAATATGTAAAGTGATCAGATGCACATTCAGGTGAAGTCGATGTTGAGGTTGATGCTATTGATGCATTGGGCCGGAGGCATCAACACATAAGCTACTGCTAAAACACACACATACATACAGACCAGCAAACCCACAAGCAGATCCATCCCGGGCCCTCCCTCTCTCTTATCCTGTCAGTCACTGTATGTCCCCTCGAGCCTTTTACACTGATGAGAGAAACAAGGCAACTCTAGCATCTATAAAAAGGATATTCCTTGTTTTTTGCTGCTTGTGTTGCCATAGAGACCCTCCGCTTCCTTAATTCTGCCAATGGGTAATGGGGAACTTTGTGTGAATGACATTTTGAATGGCAAATATCTGCCTTTAATGAATTTCCTCATGCTTAAAAGAACGGTTACACCAACACTGAAAACTCAAATTTACCATCACGTCGTCCAAATGTTATGACATTATTTCTGTTGAATACAAAAGGATATGTTTATCTGAATGTTCATCCAGCTGAATGCGTCTCTTTTCTATAGAATGAACATCCAAGAGGACAGATATTGCAGAGGCCTGACATCCATTCTTAAATTTCGGACCTAAATCCTGGACGGATGGCCAGTCCATAAAAGGGCTCCCACAAAGATAAAAGAACACAGGGCATAAATTGTATAGACTAATTTTATGCTACTTTTATTAACTTTTTTGGTGCAATGCCTGGTCACTGTATGTTTTTGGTGTATGGAAGAGCAGCGTGAACATTAGGGCTGTCGAAATTAATCGTTTCTACGATGCACTGCGATGCAGACGAGGACGATTCGGTATCGGTTCAGTAATAGGCCATAAGCGATTATAACATACTGATGCTTTTCTGATGTCATTTGTCGCGGTAGCATACAATGGCGGAGGGAGGCGAGACTCGCGTAATTAAAAATGCTCCAACTACTTTAAAAGCCGACATCTGTGCACATTTCGGCTTTTATGAACAACCTGGTAAGCACGACCTGGAGAAGACACACGCTGTGTGTAAATCATGCCACGCACAAATAAAATATGCAGGGGGTAATACCCCTAACTTGAGAAACCACGTCAGCCATTTTCACCCTGAGCTGTTAACGCCTGTCAGTGCCAAGTATTTAGTATTAACGTTTGTGTATTTGTTCTAAATGCTCCTGTTTGTCTTCTGTGCCCAGATTTGAGTTTTGTTTGATGTTTGATACATTCAAGAAGCATGTTTTCTTTGAGCAGGTAAAATTAAAGGTTTAGTTCATATATCTGACTGCTTGTAATTATTGACAAAATTGTATCAGGCATGTGATCAGCTAGAGACAAAAAAGAAGGAAAATCTGACCACGCCCCACGTCACGCCCACAAGTCACGGCCCCAGCACTTATTATTAAAAATATATATTTTAGCACATTAAAAGATATATCTTATATTGTAATAATACGTATTATTGTTCTGTAAAAAATAAAAAGCAGCACTTAATAATCATGATAACGATATAATATATTATAAAAAAGTACTATATTATATTATAGTAAGGTATATAGAATTGTTATTATTATTAAAGTAAAGTGAAGGATTATGTGAAACTGAAACTTCTCTTTGTAAACAACAACAGATTTATAAACGTTTCTAATGACGAATGTTGCATTTCCAAATGCAAATTAAAACGGCTCAAACCAAGCACAGCTAGCACTAACAGTGAATCGAAAATAAAAACAGTACTGTAACAGCAGACATGTAGCGCGTCAGACTACAGCCTATTATATAATTACATCACAACCGTTGGAAATTTTATGACAGCACTAGCAATCTCAAATTCTCACCGCCATTCATAAAAAGTCACTGGGTCGAGTCACACGTTTCAGCGCTGATTCTACTCGCTTGGCGCTTTGATTAATTTGAACGCTTTGAACTGTCTTGCAGATGGCGCCGCGAGCTCATGCAGCACTCTCAGGATCATTCCGTCCATGATGTTTTAGAAAACAATTTTTTCGCAATTTATTTAGGTAATAGCTAGGTCGGAAAATATGGAAATCTGTATTTATATGGAAAAATCACATCCCTGTTGTATACATGTGAAGTAAAATTGAAAATTGAGGATGCAGTGCATCGTCAATGCACCGTGATGCATCATGATCGATGACATGATAATCGTAATCGAACCGAATCGTAAGACCAGTGTAGGTTTACACCCCTAGGCAACATGGGTGTACAACATGCGGGGGATGTGGGGGACATGTCCCCCCACTTTTAATAACATTTTAATTAGTCCCCCACACTTTTTTCGGGCAGGTGTGTTCACGTACATGTATTCTAGGGCCAGTGAAAATAAGTCTACATGTCACCTGACGTTTTATTCATATCCAAAATGACACAAAGTGAACAATATAGAGTGCTAAAGACTCTCATGCAGTATATGTTTCATTCATACACGAAGCCTGAGGGCGCTCTTGGACAGAAGTAATAACTTGTAGGAAATCCTTAATGTGGACAAAAGCATCTAGCGATTGCTGCAGCTAAGCTGAATATAAAGCAGAAACGATTTGACTGATTAAACATGTAGACAATATACACACACGATTGCGACAATATATGGTTTATATGTGTTTTTCAAGTCATCTCCAGGTAATAAATGAATAAAATTTATGAATAATGCTAATTTATATACTATTTAGTACAGAAACTATAATATATATTATGTTATAAAAATGGGAAAGAAGTGTGCGTAGTATAAAAAACAATCATAAAACTGTCATTAGGAAAATACAGGGGGGAAATATAGAATACTAATTATTAGATAATTGTCATCTATAAGCTTTGTTATTGTCCATCAGTGTATTTGGGGCCAGATATACAAATAGCTTGCGCCAGCGCAAACCGTCTTTTAGCGTTAAAATAGCACTGTCAGGATTCACTAAAGATGCGCAGTGAGGATTTCCCGCTGAAAAGGTGTGGACTCAGTTATTTTTTTGAGCCTGACCTTATTGAATATGCATTTGTAGGAGTTTCCCTTTCAAACGCAACATTTATGGGAGGAGAGTATTAAAATAAATCGCAATTTACTAACGTTTGCGCTCGTCAAATTACTGGTATTTGCGCTATTATTTTTAGTACAGAAACTATAATATATATTATGTTATAAAAATGGGAAAGAAGTGTGCGTAGTATAAAAAACAATCATAAAACTGTCATTAGGAAAATACAGGGGGGAAATATAGAATACTAATTATTAGATAATTGTCATCTATAAGCTTTGTTATTGTCCATCAGTGTATTTGGGGCCAGATATACAAATAGCTTGCGCCAGCGCAAACCGTCTTTTAGCGTTAAAATAGCACTGTCAGGATTCACTAAAGATGCGCAGTGAGGATTTCCCGCTGAAAAGGTGTGGACTCAGTTATTTTTTTGAGCCTGACCTTATTGAATATGCATTTGTAGGAGATTCCCTTTCAAACGCAACATTTATGGGAGGAGAGTATTAAAATAAATCGCAATTTGCTAACGTTTGCGCTCGTCAAATTACTGGTATTTGCGCTATTATTTAACCCCCCCCCAAAAAAAAAAGCAGGCGGTAATTTGCGCTGGTCATTATGGAAATGATCTGGCTGTGTTCTTAAATGTGCGCATTGTCAGTAAATCACACGCAGAATTTTCCCCTCTCATCGGTGCTTTATGGAATTGCACTGTAATGCTAATTTGCCCTGTTTAGTAAATCTGGCCCTGAATTTCTTAAATCAATTAAAAGTCAAATCTCTATTAAAGACAATAATAATAATAATAACAACAATATTTGTCATTTTTGTTCCCCTCACTTTTGAAATGATGGCTACCCCCTGAGCGTGAATATT